CTCTACCGCTGGGCTCCTCCCGCCCTGCCGCCTGGGTTGCTTTCTATGCTGGTTGGTCCAGAAGCTAAGGAAAAATTTGACCCCCTGATAAGCCCACTCTCTCCCCTCCCCACCCCTCCCACCGCTGCCAGGAAGCATCTCAACCCATCCTGGATGCCCCCTCTGCCCGGACGCCCCCCAGGCCGGCCTCAGTTCCTCCGCGGCAGCTCTGGGTTGCGGTAGCTTGGTCCTGTTTCCCACTCAAACTGAACCTCACACAACTTCGTGTCTACTTGGTGCTGTCACTCGTGCTTCCGCTGATGCAATGGAGCTCAAAAGAAAGAATTCTTTGTATTTTTATTCTAACTGAATAAAGATTTCGGGAGAGAGGAGGGACACGGCGAGTCATCCGCGCCGGGAACCTGAACCCCTTCATTCCACAGGCCCTGGAAAGGGCTCCCTGTGTAACCCCCCAGCTCTCCAGGGCAAGCTTTCCGTGGTGGTCCCCAGCCAGACTTGGCTCCTTTCCCAGGCATGCAGGTCCCTGACCCTTCCGTGGTGCCGCCTCCCCCGGGGAGGACCGGCTGGGCCCTCCGTGCAGCACGGGGTCTCCGTGTGGCCGGAGGAGGGCTGGAGCTGGGCATGAGGGTTTCTCGAGAATGATCAGTCCCTGGGCTCCAAATCCTGCTCTCCCCACATCAGCGACGGCTTCAGATCGTGGGACGTGAACTGACGAGCGCTCCTCCTGGTGGCAAGGCGGGCTCCCCAGGAGAGGCGACCCCAGCCAAGCCCCGCAGGGCCCCGGCCCACAGACCGCGGAGACGGCGCAGGGCCCTGGCCCCGGCCTCTTAGCCGCCTGAAGCCAGATCCCCGCTCCTGGACATACGCATTTCTGGGGCTGTTTTGACTGTGGGTTTTGTTTCACTTTTCTTTCTTACAAGCTGATTATCCTTTTTGTCTCTTTTAGATGTTTTATTGCACCTTTATTGTTGCGTCCAAACCCTGGAACTTTGAACTCAAGCTGCTGAAGAAGGAATGCCGATCCGTCTAGCCCTCCGGCGCGTCCTGCGCCCTGACGTGCCTCCGGAGAAGCACAGACGCCTGAGAACACTGAAATAACACGACTGACATGCTGCCTTCCCTCTTGTAGCCTTTTGCCTTTTTGTGCGTTCTCCGCGCGAGGAGGCGGAGCCGTGCTGCCTTTACGCGGTGGGTAATTTCTGCAAGGCTCCGAGGGTGCAGTCGTGTGGGAATGTCCATCCGTGGGTTTCCAGACAGCTCCCTGCCTGGGACGCAGGAGCTCACGCAGCTGTAGACAGAGGTTTAAACCCCAAATCCAAGCTGGGAGACAGCTGGGTCATTTGCAGACTTGTGTTGTACTCTTGGTTTTGAAATGAAGCAGAAATTTGCCAGAGCGATGGTACCTGGCAAGTAGGCTGCGTGTGTGTGTGCGTGTGTGTGCGTGTACCTGTGCGCACACAGTGGGAGGTATAATCCAGTGCTGCGTGACTGGCCTTGCCCTTGCTGCTTGAGCCATTTCTTGTGTCTCTGTGGGGTCTGTGGGCCAGGGCCCTGCGGCAGCTTGGCTGGGGTCACCTTTCCCGAGGTCCCGCTCAGACTCTGAGAGCACCGCCCCATCGGAAGGTGAGTTTGGCTCCGGGGAGCCCACCTGCAGGCTGGCTCGCTCTCACGGCTGCAGGGCGGTGTTGGCTGCTGGCAGGCGGTCTCTGTCCTCCGTGTGGGCCCCTCCGGGGGTGGCCGGGGGCTGCGTGTGGTGCCTGGTTCCTCCAGACACAGGCCTGAGAGACCAGCTGGAAGGCACAGCTCCCTCTGTGTCCGGCTTCAGGTGCCCCACCAGCTCCTTTTTGTGTTACTGGTCACCTAGATTAGCTCTGGCTGGGTGGGGTCGGGGACACAGCAAGGTGTGACACACAGGAGTGTGGCTGCTCCTTGTAGTCGCTGCAATTAGACAAGTTCCAACAGCAGTTCCTGGGCATTGACTAAACAAAAAAATGACTTTTGCCCTAAACACACTTCTATACATAAAGTACACACAAGGACATACTGTGCGGCACGGGGAGCTGTACCCGGTGTTTTATGATGACCTATAATGGAAAAGAATCCGCAAAAGAACGTACATGCACACGGGTAACTGCATCACATGCTGCACACCGGAAACTAATGCAGCATTGCAAACCAACTATTTGTCAATATAAAAAAAAGAATGACTTTTCAGGTCAGGAAGCCCCCGGCTGTGAGCGAGT